AAGTCTCTGGGATTGCTGGCTGCCTTTCCTTGTTTTGGATCATACCAGTACATCATGTAAAAATTGCACATTTCATCTTCATGGGTTAATCTGGTCACAGAAATAGACATAGAATCCCTTAGTTTGTGCGAGTAAATACACTTCTAAGTGAAGTACTCAAAACATCAGCTTTTAAAACTCCCTACATAAACATATGTACATAAACTTTATGTATACCGGTACTTGAGTTTTTTAGAGCAGCTAACAAGCTAATATCTTTGAGCTGAGACAACAAGTGCTTAAAAATCCCTACTGGCAGGAGGCAGACCAGTAAGCTATTTATAAAGCGTAGCAGGGGAGTTGAACTCGGGGCAACCGAGAACAAATCCAGTGAGTAGCAGGGTGCAGGACACTGAATTACAACTCCAGCTACCTAGCCACTCAGCCACACCGCCACCAAACTACAGTGGCCAATTTACTTTATCAACTCTTTCCATGAGACCAAATTATTTTGTAATACCCTAACTAGTTCAACACCACAGTTCCTTTTCCCTAGTCTGGTCTGGTCTGGTAAGATGATGGTCATAATGATACTATAAACAAGCATACCCTGAGTGTGTTACTCTGTTTCTCTGCATTGAATTGAAAGTGCAACGGGCAGCCTGTAAATAAAGATTATTTTATGCTTTAACAAAAAGAAGCAAACCTAATCTATGTTTCTAGAAGCACATCCAAAAAATTCAGTTGTATAGTCTGAAGTTGGAGATGCACCGGATATGGGAAAAAATGAATGAAATTTACAAGAAATGAAAAACAAGAGGGCAGAAATGTATGGTCGGGAAAGAACAGGAGAGGTGACAATGGAGATCTGGAGAGTAAACATGAGAGTCGAGTGCTAGAGAGGTGAGGAGATGGAAAAAACAAGGCAAGAGACTTAAAGATTGGGTAGGAATTGTAATTACTTTATACTGTTTAAGAATACCAGTGCTTACTATAGTGTCTCCACTTTTTATATCCACTAGATTATCTACTGGGTAGAATGCCTGAAAAATTAAACCAAATATGAGATATCAATGAAATAAACCAATTTTTTTCCTCTATAATTCTGTTTACTGTGTACAGACTTTCAGAGAGGCTCTTTGAGAGTTGATGAATATTTACTTTTCAGTGCCAAATTTCCTACAGGTGATGGGTAATTTATACAAACTTGAAATTTATATTTTTACTTTACATGGAAGTCAATTATGCAACTGCTGAAGATTTAACTTACCTGTGGTCGCTGTGGATCCATTTTACCTATTAGAGTCCATTTCCCATCACGTATTCTGTAGCCAGTCACTACCGTCCCTGGAGCAATTCCAGAGTTAAGCTCTACTTAGTATGCAAATATGATATCCAAACTTTACACCTTAAATCTTTTTAAACTTGAAAAGTTGTTTTGAATCATTTGGTTTTCTCTTAATTTATACTATTATGTGTTTGCAAATTAACAGGTTACAAGACACAGAAGTGGATTTAGGATCAAATGCCAGCATTAATATCATTAAATCTGAAAACCAAAATTCAAAAACCTTTAAAAACAACGGAGAACCACACACAGAAAGATCGTCAAAATATTTTTAGAGACCAGAAGAGTGATAAGTGATAAACAGAATTCTTTATCTGCTACAAAGGTACACTGATTGAAAGAATCCCTGAGAAGACCTTGGATTTCAGGAATCCCTCTCAAGTGATTTTTGAAATACTGAATTTTCCAATCTTGTTCAGTCTAAATTTTGCCCATTAATAATCATCCATCTATAAATTATTGACTAAACAACATCTCTAGCAACATGCCACATATTCATGACTCATATATTGTACCATTATTCTAAAAGGACTTAATAACCCTAAAGAGACATAGAAGGGGTCCTATTGGTGATCATTTCCTCCATTCTCATGACCTTGCTTTGTGATTCATTGGTGATATTGTACGGAGAAATTTGATGCTAGTCATACTAATGGGTAAAAGGGGAAAAAAAGAAAACCCTTAACTCCAAGAGGGGAAAAAATTCCATCTAAATACTATCAGTACACTGGAACTCACCAATTCCATGAGTGTGGACTCTAAAGTCAAAAGGATGTAAGACTGGTCCATCATGATATTGACATCCAATGTCAAAATGCCAAGCTGGATAAAGAAGAAACACAGTATTTAGTTATTAGGCAGGTGATATGCTGAGCAGGCAGGGGAGTGACTTCAAAGATTTTAGTTTACCTTTCTTCTTTGGTGGAATGTCTCCAAATGGTTGTAAGAGAAATACAGCAGCCAGTTGACTGGGTCTGTGAAGCAAAAGTGAGAAGCAGAACTGTTATAACTGAAACCTTGGGAACAGTTATGAACTGTTTTACTCATTTGTTCATTTTCAACTTATGAAGGTTTAATTTCACTTGATTATTTAGATTTCCA